GAAAGTTATGCAAGACAAATGTTGAATATCATAGAGGAATGCAAAGTTGTGTAAATTCATAGACTGGTCAAAGTGACACATTAATAAACACATTTAATAGATAAATGTTTTTAAGAAAATGATTTTGACAAAATTGGGGAAATCAATCTAGTTTAAGATGGAATTAAATCAGTTTAAAGATAAAATATGGATAATTATATAATAAAGGAGGAGGAGCTCCTCTCGAATAAAGGAGCTCAGAAGTGCCTCGGGAGTCTTCATCTTTATTCATTTTTGTTGGCTTTTGGCCTGCATGTGCTTAAGGCGAACACGCTAGAGGTCTTTCCTTTCATTTAAGTTTCTTTTAAGTTTCTGATTAAGTTGTATGTTCAATAAAACTGTTGGCATCTCCTGTAAATTTTGTGTTTTTGTTTAAATTGTGTTCCAAAAGCCTGAACCAACATCTTTCCGGCCTGAAGAAATTCTGCAAAGCCTTTAAAATTTGCAACCCCACAATCCTGCTGCTCTTTGAAAAACTAACAGTACTTCTAAACGAGATGTTAAACAGGGCTTCGTGTGATCTGCCTTTTGGTGAAGCAACTGGCCAGAAAGATTCAACACATTCAAGGGGCTTCATCATACTGACTTCCTTCTCTTCCTTCTTGGACTTTCCAGGTCCTCAACCGTACTCCATCAGAGGCTTCTGAAGTTGTTTTTCAGAACAAAAGTGGAGCACATAGTAGCAAACATTGAACACACACCTCCCCTGTCTGCCAAGAGCATGTCTGAGAACTTCCCTTTATAGCACCATCAGTGACGTGAAGACACATTGTTCAAACAAATCTGCGATGGTATTTTCAGATTAAGTTAGCCAATTAGACATTACAGTGGACTTAATGCAGTCCACAATTCCTTAGGAGGTACTCAACATGAATTTAAACCAGCCTGCAATTTAATTAAATAACACACCCCTCCCTCTCTGAGCTTCAGTAACACCAATTTGCATCAAAATCTTGATTAAATCAAAATTCAAGAATCGTCTTAACTGTCTGAGTTAGGTTCAGTCTTCACGGTCACTGGAAGCTCTAATCTTACCGACGTACAGGTTCCAGACCACAACTGAGGCAGCAAATCCAAAAGTGCTTTTCTCCACAGAACCAAACTAGGTCGGTCCTGAAAAGAAGTAACTAACAGGTGTTATACTAATTCATAATGTTTATTATTTTATTACACCATGCAGGCTGCACTTCATTTACCTCAGTGGCAATATAGTGAATTAGACATGTGTAATTAATCTCGTTTGGCGTATAGATAGGTGGTCTTGTTATGTATTTAACCCATGTAGAAATTCTCTGCCCACTCACAATTTGAAAATTGTGAAAATTTGTTTATGCTTTATTTTTATTTATTCCTTCTATTGTCTAATATATCTTTGACCCGTGTCCACCAGGGGTGGTGAGTGACCTGGATGGACCCAGATAGCACTTTAGCTCAGTCCTACCACTAGTTGATACTAACTTACTTATATTTTTTCTCAAGTGAATTTAGTAATTCACGTAGCAAAAGTCCCTGTCCTTGAGATCGTCACTGTCTCCTCTGGCAGAGCTTCGACACCATTCAGAGGGAGACTGGGAACATTGAGTCTAAATGGACCATGTTCAGCACCTTCATTGCTGAGGCTGCACCACTGAGCTGGGGTCTGTGTCGTGGTGGTAAACCCCTGTTGTGACTGTGGTTTTACATCTCCTATAAATACTACAAGATTTTTATTCTATTGTATATAGTATTTTATTTTATTCTAGTCTATTGTGTACAGTACCTTATTCTTATTCTTATTCTTAACATCTTATCCTATTCCAGTGTTTTCAAATTTTTGCTATGTAACTTTCTACTGTAACAAAAGAAATTTCCCACATGTGGGACTCGTAAAGGTTATCTTATCTGATGTTATCTCTTATCTTATCACCCAGGACTGACCTGATGTATTAAATGCACCGAAAAAGTAAAAAAAACCCAAAAAAAACATGACCCTCACAGTGCTCGCCAGCTGGCCCAGATGGGCGTAGGCACAATTGAGCAGTTATATCATGGCGTCCTCAGCCTCGAGGTGGGGCTGGTAACAAACTGAAGGAGATCCTGATGTGGCCTAACTATAGGGCGGAGCTGGTTGAGGATGAGTCTTTCCAGGCTCTAAATGTATGTAGTTTATTTATATTAATGTATTTGTATATTGTTATTTCACTTCCACTTCATGGACCGTACCAGAGAAATCAGGAGACCCTCGTTTATTAAAAAGATTTTATATAATTATTTTTAGAGTGACTATAATCAATGAAGGGATTATT